AATATAGAGGACGTGAGTCAGACTCTAATAAAACGCATAAATAACTTCCAGTATATATATTTCTTATAACTTATTACTAGAGGGTTCAGAACTAGAGTCAATATCGATATCGCACGTGTAGACTGTAGAGATGATATCAGTACTATGCCCCGTATCCGTTCTATCTCATTCTGTTGAATCTTGTGGAACTAGTTTAACGCGGCCAGGCATCGTCTTCCACATCATCATGTTTCACCCTCAACATATTTTGTATATTTTTTTTCAAGAGGTTAAAAAAAGTGGGGGGGGGCGCTTTCCCCTTTAGCTTGGGGGGGGGGGCGCTCTCCCCTCTAGCTTATCAATGGTTCAATTTACAGTATTTATTTTCGAAATGGTTTAAGTTCTTCTGTGTTTATTATCTAAAATTTCTAAAGTTTGAACGATATATTCCAAAGATCATATTTAGACGAAGTTGAAGATGGTGGAGCTCCAAAAACGTGATATGAAAAATAAGGAAACTATCGGAAAATTAAAAAAACAAAAGGTAAGAAAATTATTTTTTTCTCAAGCGAAAAATCTTTCTTTAAATGTTTATTTTTATTTTCTTTAAATGCTTTTTAATTACATTTATCTTTGCTGAAATATGTTTAATGATTCATTTGTTTTAGTCTGTTGAAGACATCTCTACAAATCCAGGGCTGATTTCCAAACCAAATACACCTTCAATCAGGTAACATTACTGATTTCCAAACCAAATACACCTTCAATAAGGTAACATTACTGATTTCCAAACCAAATACACCTTCAATAAGGTAACAGTACTGATTTCCAAACCAAATACCCCTTCAATAAGGTAACATTACTGATTTCCAAACCAAATACACCTTTAATAGGGTAACAGTACTGATTTCCAAACCAAATACACCTTCAATAAGGTAACATTACTGATTTCCAAACCAAATACACCTTCAATAGGGTAACATTACTGATTTCCAAACCAAATACACCTTAAATTATGTAACTTCAAAATAAGCCATGACGTAGATAATAAATTACTGATTTCAGGGCAAAATCTGCCGGAGCGAGATTAGTGCAAACACCACAGAGGTTTAATCCTTTAAATATTCTTTGTTTTTGGGGTATTTACTTCAGGTTAACCCAAAAAAACAGGATTAGGGTTTCCAAAAGAGTCCAAAATGTATTGGGAGTTGGAGTTTTTTTTTAAAATTTTGAATCGAGTCATTTGAGTTACTTTTTATCGCCCAATGCTCTCATTTGGCATAAACTCTTTCGAATATTCGAAAATATCTTTGAAGAATTTTTAATTCTCATTCGCTTATTCAAATCTAAATCGAGAAGAAAAATTTAAACTTAAAAATGATAAAGACGAAGGATTTTAAATATTTAAAGGTTTTAAAGGACTATAATACCCTAATCTCGTGTTTTGTGTTTTCCTGTATTGTATAAGCATAAAGATTACTTAAAGTTTTGAAAAATAGTTTGAACTATAGTTTGAAAATAGTTTAACAAATAGTTTGAAATGTAGTTTGAAAAACACTGGAAAAATAGTTTCAAAAATAGTTAGCAAATAGTTTTTAAAAATTTGAAAAAAACGTGTGAAAATTAGCTTAAAAATAAGTTTGAAAAACATTTTGAAAATTAGTTTTAAAATGATTAGAAAATGTCTTAAAAAAGCAAAAAAAAATTATACAAAGTTTTCTCCTTGCAAATAAAAATAAATGAAAAATGAATAAAGATAAAAATAAATAAAGAATAAATGAAATTATAAATTTTCTTGCTTTTTAGAAGGAGAGGTAGTGGCAGACAGGGCTTTACAGGCGGGGGCTTTCCACTCTCTACAACTATTATAAAATTGGATTAAAAACTATCTATACGTAGGGTTTCCACAAATTTGAAAGGAAGCAAAACGATGCGGAAATTTGTGCAATGAAAAACAAAATATGCAACAACTTTGCAAAAAAATAATTTATCTGTTTCGCGAAATTTTAGCGAAACAAAAAATGCAAAATTTTTGGCGAATAACAAAAATGCAAAATTTTCACGAAAACATTTACTCATTTCGCCGGAAACCCTACTTTTAGGGATGGGCGTTCCCGATTCACAACTGTAATTTTTTACCTTAGGCTCATTTTTTTTACAGAAACGCTTGTAACTGTTTGTTTGCAAACTGTTTCATATTTAAAGGGACTGTAAAGGAAAAATGAAAGGTGTATAGGCTGAAAGCTGATCACTTTAGCTCTTGATCGCAACCCATGAAAGTTATATCTGATGTTCCTGTCTCGAGAAATTGATATAAAACTTTGTCAAATTTATACGAAAATTCATATAGATGCAGCAGAACTCCCACCAATAAGAGTGCAGTAAACTGGTCAGGAGTGTCTGTCTGTATCAAGTGAACAATATACTGCACTACCATAAGTGGGAGTTCTGATGACGTCATACAGACTTATAAATAATAACATATCTATTAAAAAATAAATAAAAATTATAAAATAATAATTGGAGAAAACCTCATGTTACATTTAGGTTTCTCTGGGATATCTTCGTTTTCAGATTGGTTGCGTATTTGCTGAATATGATCTGTTTAAACCTTATATTCTCTTAAAAAATTTATTATTATAAAAATTTCATATATTTGAATTTTCGTATAAATTTGAAACAGTTTTATATCAATTTCTCGAGACAGGAACATAGATAGAACTTTTATAGGTCGCGATCAAGAACTAAAGTGATTAGTTTTCAGGCCTATACCCCCTTTCATACGTTTCCTATACAGCCCCTTTAAGGAACAAATGTAATCTCATCTGTGTTGAGTTTACAAAATACGCTAGGGTACACACCAACTTTATAGGGCTTTTTACACAACATTTATGATAAATATAACTATCATCGATGAGCTGTACAGGATTTAGAGGTACCGTTGTGAATTGGGATGTTCCTCTTTAAATGGAAGGTGCTTTAAGATTATACTTACAGGACCTCAATAGAAGATAACAGTTATATCCTTGTGCATTTTATAGTTGAAAACTTTTGAATATAATGTTAGAAGTTAATCTCTCTGACTTTAACTCTGGACTTAAGAATTGAGAGTTTAATTCATTAAATTTGAAATTCAGCTGACTACAGATTTACCTTCTATCATTGGTCAAAGCTCCGAACTTTTAACCAATGAAACAAGGATAAAATATTCAATATTTTTTAATCTCTTTTATTTTTTTCGTCTATTTCAAAAGTTTCAGCGTTAAGTTTTTATTTATGATTTATTTTTCGAATTCAAGGGTGAACTATTTATTTTGACATGAGGGGGGGGGGAGGATTAGGTCTTAAAAGAATAAAATCTAATATTGTAATAACTTTTCATCAATTATTTAACTGGCATAAAATGTGTGTTTACTAATTATTGAACTTTTTTGTTGGGCAATTAGTTGAATGCTAAAAACTCTGTTTGATATAATCTTGAGACTGATGCTGGTAACTAAATAAACGTTGTTAACAAATAATCTAACTGTATTTAGTAAAATCTCTTTCAACCAATTATAGAAAATTTAATAACCAATTCTGTAACTGTATTAAACAATGTGGGACCAAAAGTGTTTGTCACAAACTTTGATTTTCTAATCCCTATATTTCTGCAACCAAACTATGAATTCTGTTAGATAAAATAATTTAACTTTAAAAAATCAAAGGTTTACACCATCAGGTTGTAAGATATATGGGATTAGAAAAGATAAGTTTGTGACAAAGACTCACTTTCTACAATATATGTCCATACGTAGTTGAGGTAACTAGACTAAGTCAAAATACTTCTATTAGTTTAAAACACGAGAATATATTTTCTTAAAATTTGGTCTCTTTTAACCAATGTTGAAAACTTTTCGTTTTCTAACTTAAGCAACATCTCGAATAACAAATTATAGAAAATTTTATAACAAAATTATTTAACTGAATATTTGTTAACTAAATATACATTATTTTATTAATATGATATTTAACTATTTCTAATCAAAGGACTTGAGTCTTTGCCAGAAACACAAATTTTCTAATCCCTTTATCTTTGCGACCTGATGGTCTAAACTTTAACATAGATTTTTTATCCAACATAAATATCTAAGGTCTACAACATTAGTTTAAGATTTAAGAATATTTAGGGATTAAAAATATCAGAGTCTGTGCAGCAAAACTCAATTTCTTTTGTTTATGGCATAGTTATTTAAACATTTATAGTTTAAGGATTATCTTAAAACAACAATTATGTTCAGAATTCAGACACAATTCATTATCTGATTGTACAATTTCTTAAAGTAACATTTTTACGTTTATTCCTGTTTTACCTTTAAATGTTTGTATGTGTACAAAAAATATCTTTAAATGGGGTTTGGACATGAAAAATACATTTTAAAAATTATTTTACCACTTTTGAAATATCAATATCAATTTAGGCATTTTTAATGTAAAAACGGTATAAAATGACAAAAACGTAACCAATGCAATGTTTTTGTTTCTTAATTTTTTTGTCATCAATAATATTTATTTTTTAGATTAAAATCATTATGAATGATAAAAAATTTTTACAAACATAAAACATTGCATTGGTTGCGTTTTTGTCACTTTATACCGTCATATATATATAGTGGTAAAATAGGCTGATTTTTTTTAAATTGATTTTTTTAATTTAAACTTTTTAAATAAGTGTGTTAAATTCCTCGGGCAAAGCCGGGCACTTCAGCTATTCTTTATGTGGCAAAACTTGGGGCCTAATGTAAAATACGTCGTAATTTGTTCCTATAGTAACTACGCTAATCCTGTAATGCGATTAACCCATTCCATGTTCGTAGATAGATATAACTTTGTCATACCCATAAATGTGATTTAATACGTATATATATTAACTGCTAGAGATGTCAACGATAGTGTAACGTAACGTAAAATGTACGTTTTTGTACGTTACGTTACAATAATGTGTAAAGCTAAAATCTAGAAAAATCAAAACGTTGACATCTCTATTAACTGCTCATAACTTGTAATTACGCTGTAAATAAACCAAGTCTAATATGAACTACGAAATACAGATCAGTTTATTGAGACTCTGTTTTTGATAATGTTATCAGAAGCCTAAGTAAGCTTGGAATAGAGCTTTGGTACTTGTTTAAATATTAGAGTTGAGAAATTGCCTGTGTAGCAATTTCATTGGACTGTGTGTTCTTTACAACTGGGGAATGTAGCCTGGTTGAGATTTGGCCTGTGTGTCATTTAGAACCGGGGAGTTAAGCCTGGTTAAAAAATTGCTTGTGTAGCAATTTCAGTGGACTGTGTGTCCTTTAGAACTGGGGAGAGTAGCCTGGTTAAGATTTGGCCTGTGTGTCATTTAGAACCGGGGAGTTAAGCCTGGTTGATCTGGCAAACAAGTGAGACCTGGATAGATACGTCTCGAGTAAATTGTTATGGAGTATGCGTAAACTACATTTATAATAAAGCTCTTCGCTCATATTTATATATTTTTATGTTTAATTGTATGTATATTTATTTATTTGTCAGCTATAGCATGCCAATTACGGCTAGTTAACGATTTAAAAATTAACAGTTTTTGCCGTTCGTTAACAAACTCTTCCGTTAATTTTCGAAAACCTCCGTTCCGTTAACGGAACTTTGCCCAGCCCTGACGGCTGGACAGAATGGGCTGACATTGAAACTTAAGGGTACGCGCGAACAGAATTAAGTTTATTTTTAAAGTTAGTTTAATCATAAAAACATTATTTATCACCATGAATCACAATAACCTTAATTTTCGTAATACTGAAACTACTCGACACAAAGTAATCTCTATAATCTCTGCAACCTGATGTTGTAAACCTTTGTAATTAAAAATCTGGATTATGAAGGTCTAGGACACCAGGATCACAAAATTGACTAAGATTGTAAATTTATCTCAAAAACTTCTTTTTTTGTTGTTTTAGCTCACGGAGTGAATCTAGCTGACTGAATCCAGCATATTCAGTTTTTTTTCTTCAGCAAAAATCTTCAATTTCCTTCAAGGTGCATCTAAGCTTGCAGCACCTGTAGGATATTCCACGTGAGTCTCTCAAAGGCCGACTCAATGGTACAGACTCAGATCTAAAAAATAATAATTATAAAGTTTTGTTTGTCTAGATTAAATTTAATTATCCCATTAATACCGACCAGCTCCCCTGTCTACAGAATTTTATGAAATTTCAAGAACAGCTTTCTATGGGTCTTTAATTAATTTATGTTTCCAAACTTTTTTGCTAAAATGCATAGAAATTTTTTTTTGCGTCTATAACGACGCATTCGGATTAACCTATTATGGCATGCGTCTAGAGTGTGTAGTTATGCATTGTACAGTGTACAGTGTATATTGTACAGTGTGCATGTGTATAGTTTAAAGTTAGCAGTGTACAGTTTAAAGTTAGCAGTGTGCAGTTTGCAGTGTGCAGTCTATACTTAATACTGTGCAGTGTTCAGTGTCCAGTTTATAGTTTGCAGTGTTTAGTATATATTGTGCAGTGTGCAGTGTGCATTGTGCAGTGTATAGTTTATCGTTTGCTGTGTCTGGGCGCAGTGCGCAGTGTGTATGGACACCGTACTTGGGTAATTATAGATGTGTGCCATAAAGGGTTAGTCAGGGAGCGTCTTTAACGACGCACCAGCACAACATTTTATCAATAAAAATATATGTAATTAAACTGAAATAAAACAAAACTTGACAGAAACAAAAAATATATAAGAAAGGCTATAATTTGTTTTTCATAAGTTTTGATCAATACTTAAAAACATATAATTTGGACTTAGGTTGAAGTTTCCTATGGGAATTTTGTGAATCTGACATGCTTTCCTGGTTGAAACTGAAAAAATATTGATCCAGGTGCCATCGGGGCCTGGCAGGCAAAATTTGAAGCTGTATTAAAGTGCAGAAAAAATATAAAAGGTCCAGCATAAATAGTTAGATAGTTGGTCAGGGGTTGAATGAGTTGAATTCATGTGCCGAAAACGACGCTTATGTCACTAATGGGTACCTAAAACCGGGAGCTGGGTGTATTTCCACTGCTGTTAAAGATGCAGCAGCTCGTTGTAGAGAATCTAAACATATCAAATTCATGAAAATCGTTATATTTTAGGGATACGTTAACACTTTAATTATCAAGAGAAAGGAGAGGAAATATTTATTAAATGTAGATTGCAAGTAATGTTTGAAACACAAGAAAACGATTTTCCACAATATATCAGCTGTTCTAGACACCATGCTACCCCCCCCCCCCCCAAGACGTAGTACAAGGTGAAAGGGATAGAATTTGTGTACATTATTTGACTGTGGCGCGTTATCAAAATAACAGCAAACATTTTTAAACAACAGCTAAAGGAGGTCGGGAAATTGTAATTGTACGACAGTTCTCCTCCTCCCTCCCCAAACATCTTCCCCCCCCCCCTCCACCCGACTGACCCCGCCTCCTTTATTTACCTTTAACTGTGCAAATTCGTTTGAATTGAAAAATCAGCTGATCTCCACACAATCGAAACTAAAAAAGTATAAAAGGTAAAATCATTTTGTTTGGTTTTTAGTCAGTTAAATAGAAGTTTCGTGTTTGTTTTAGAAAAACAATCTTACCTTTAATCCCCTTTTGGGCCTCCTTCGTGGTTTCAAGCTTTCTTCTGTTAGAACATTATCTTTTTCTTTTCTTTGAAAACTGTCTTTTACTTCAAGATAGAAACTCTCGTGTTCTTCTGTTTGAAAAAACTTGTGTTCTTCTGCTGGTTGAAAACTTTTGTGTTCTTCTTTTTGAAAACTCTTGTGTTCTTCTGGTTTTAAACTCTCGTGTTCTTCTGTTTGAAAACTCCTGTATTCTTCTGTAGGAAAACTCTTGGGTTCTTCTGTTTGAAAACCCTTGTGTTCTTCTGTTTTAAAACTCTTGTGTTCTTCTGGTTTAAAACTCTCGTGTTCTTCTTTTTGAAAACTCTTGTGTTCTTCTGGTTTTAAACTCTCGTGTTCTTCTGTTTGAAAACTCTTGTGTTCTTCTGTTTTAAAACTCTCGTGTTCTTCTGTTTGAAAACTCCAGTATTCTTCTGTAGGAAAACTCTTGGGTTCTTCTGTTTGAAAACCCTTGTGTTCTTCTGTTTTAAAACTCTTGTGTTCTTCTGGTTTAAAACTCTCGTGTTCTTCTTTTTGAAAACTCTTGTGTTCTTCTGGTTTTAAACTCTCGTGTTCTTCTGTTTGAAAACTCTTGTGTTCTTCTGTTTGAAAACTTGTGTGTTCTTCTGTTTGAAAACTCTTGTGTTCTTCTGTTTGAAAACTCTTGTGTTCTTCTGTTTGAAAACTCTCGTGTTCTTTTGTTTGAAAACTCTGGTGTCCTTCTATTTCCTCTTCATCTTCTCTTCGAATATTTTGGGAATTTTCTCCTCTTTGTTTCTCTCCTTTTGCTGTTTTTATGTTTCTTTGTTGGCTTTCACAAATTAGAATGGCTGAAAATAGAATAAAATTAGAAATACATCTTACACGCTCACAAATACGTAGATTGTAGATACATCGTATACATATATAATTCTTAAATATATTTGGGTTGTCATTAAATTGATCCCGAAATTATGAAAACGGGTTCACCGACCAACAACAAGTTTGTCAGCAGAGTGAAAGTAGGTTCTTAATTCAACTTGACCCAGCGATTAAATTGATTAATTGATTAATTGATTAATTGATGAACTATTAATTAAACTATTTTCGGGTTTACGTACTTATCTTTTAAAAATAATGCTGAAAATCGATAATAATATAATCCAATTATTCTAAAGTTCGATTTCTGAATAATTATTCGATTGTTTAAGATTTTTTTTTTGAGAAAGTAAAAAGTAAAGTTCGAACCTATGGTGAATAAAAGGAAGAGTGAAAACGGCATGCTGTGTAATCGACTAATAATCAGAATACACTATTCAATATTCGATATATTTTCCGAATTTAAAAATTCGATTGTATAAGATAATGAGGGGGTGTCGATTGTATAAGATAATAAGGGGGTGACGGGAGTTAAGGGGATGCAATTTGAATACTTGTATTCTAATAAAGTTTATCGTCGATTATGATATTTTTTTGTTAAACTCTCTAAATTTCTAATTAGACATAATTTCTCTAATTTTTATTCTTTAATAAAAGTCGTATATTGTACAGTGTGCATGTGTATAGTTTAAAGTTTTGCGTACTTGAACTAGGCGAACATGTACAAGGCAAAATGTTTTGAGCCCCCTCTGCAGCCGAATATCTAATTAATCCCCTCTGACTCCCCCCCCCATACCTGACCGAATCTCAAACAGGATTTTATATTCGATCAACAATATTGTTCATGCACCCCCTGGGGGCACTCTCCTACAAACTTAAAGAGGGAATTTAATTTAGATAAGTTGTTGATTTATTATGAGTTACGACGAATTTATAACTTAATACCTCTAGTTCTATTACTATGGCTATATTGTAAACATAAGTTATCTTGTTTGTTTTGTTGCAATGCAGGTCAAAACGACTGAACAGATTAAAAAATTGCCTATGATAGTTTTTGGTAATAATTTTGCTTTTTGTGTCGAATTTTCTTTTCTTATTGGGGGATTTTCAAACTTTTCAAATATCGATTTTTTAGCCAAATTTTTTCTTTTTGCATTAACCTTTCCTGGAATTGCTGGAATAGAAACCAGCAGACAAACCATATATATATATTTAGATATAGATTTACGATTGAGAAAGGCTTGTGGGTGATATTAGGTACTTTCCCAATTGGCAACATCCCAAATGTGCAATTTCCCAAGTCCTATAAATCCATCCTATCCGCAGCGCTCAGCCCCCCGAAGTCAATAACCTAACCTTTATGTACATTTGGGATATTGCAAATTTGGGAAATTCTACTTTGGAAAATGTAACTTGGGAAGTAGCTCTTTGGAAAAAGAAAGAGGGGCTCGAAGGCTGATTAACCTTGAAATATAATCTATCTAAATGTTAAGATTATCAGCTCTATCAAGGAAAAACGCCATATTTATAAAAATCAAAAACATCAAGGAAAACGTTTTCAGAAAACATGATTATGACTTTTTTATGATTTGACTTTTAACTTTTACTTTAGTCTCATGAAAAGTTTTGTTTTAAAAATTGTATGTTTATGGTCGAAACGAAACAGGTTTGAGAAGACAGATAAGACAACAGATTGATAGTTCACATAATATATAGATACTTATATAAAGCAACAAATTTTAATTTTATCATTTTATTGTTGAAAATATTCAAGGAGAAGGTTTTTCATTGTAAAAATATCAAAGATCATGTACAAAAGGGGGGGGGGG